CTACGTTATTGATGGGTGAGCTGCTTTTTTAAAATCTTTAATCTAATCTCCAATCGAAAACTGCAATGGCCTAAGAATTTCCCTTGTATTCATCCATTACTATTCTTCCAAATTCACCATTACGCTAAAATCCTCTCTAAACTTACACCTCCTGCATGACATATATCTGATACTGTCTGGCCTGGAATTCCCCAATAAGAAATTAACCTGAATGTCCAAGGCGTGGCTGGGACAAGTCTGTCTCCTGCCTTCACTTGTTTTTACAATGTTTTGCTGTAATTAAATATCTAAATATGTATGTCTAAAGACGGACAGAGATTTGTGGCTTTACAGTTGGACACACAAAATCTGCAGCTGCCTGAGTGGCCACATTTGTGTGAATGCTCATAAAAGCAGAAACTGTGTCAAGACCACATTCTGATTACGTTAATACATTAGCTCTTAAAATAGCATAAGCATAATGCGATGATTTGATTTGATTTGCATGTCTACACACTACACACCAGCACCTCACACTTGGCATGTTGTGTTTGTTGGAGGAAGCACTTTCATGGTGATATCAATGGTGTGTTAATCATGCCTCTCACGATCAACTCTATCCGTGTTATGACAAACCAGCTAAGCTGATTCAAGAGATGCTGCCTGAAGGAGGAAAATGTTTGGTCAGGAAGAGAAATGGTTTCAAAACAACATATAGTTTGGAAGATCCAGTTGCCTATGAGCAAGGCACACAGCATTTTAATGAATTACTATCTTCACTTGACTGTACATTTTGAATTCAGGAATTACTTTTTGATTGAAAGTTTGACTGACAACTTTTGATACTTTTTAGTATTGGACTTAAAGGTATTAAGATGCCCAGACCTAACTCAGAATATATGTCAGGAAGACTTCTGTGTAGACCCTTACTTGACACAATTTTATCCAGTAATTATCTTAATAATAATTACCTACCAATCAAATGCAGTGTACATCAAAAGAGTACTGTGCAATGTCGAACCCACGTGAAGATATCTACAGACATCATTAGGAGGAGTGAGAGACCATGATGGAGAGGGGTGCTTGAGAGAAAGACAGGGAAGGAAGACATCAGCTGAACAGACTCCGAGATAACCCTATTGTATTAGGCGAGATTCAAAGCAGATGTCTTGGTTCAGCCAGGGACTGGCTAATAGGAAAATCTAATTCAAACCTACCCTAGATTAAATTAGAAATTTACTCCAGGCCATAAAAAAACCCCTTTCAATTCGCAGGGTGTGGATATAATGCCCGGATGGCCCAAAGCTTTTCTCAGAAATGCAAAAATAACATCTTGAATTATTAAAGATAACATTGAATTGTAACTAGCAATAAAATAATTGCATATTCACATCAGCATACAAAGCTTTCTAAGAAGCGTTTTTTTAGAGTGACCAGTGGAGAAGGGCATTTACAGTACGAGTGCTGAGCCTGTGCAGAACAGGCCTTTTGTTTAGATTAGATTAGTTATATCATATACTGAATATTGTTTTAGATATATATTTAAAATGAATATACTGAATTGTATGAATAAGACATCCTTATTATGTTAAACTGTTGGAATAAATGTTAAAATATTTAACTGCAAAGTAACAATGCACGTTTGAAACCTTTTTTTTTTTGCATTGAATCATAATGAGATGTTTACTGAAACTGATTGGCTGACCCTACCAAAAGGAAACCTACCAGGTGCCACTGGACAAAACCAAACTTTTGACAGGCACTGTACGTGTTGTGGATATTTGGTCAGGCGCTGCAGACTGGCTCCAGACTGGTTGAAGGTCCAGGGTAGCCCAGGTAGCCCAGGGTAGCCCACACAACTCCACCTCCATTGCAAACAACAAATGAACTTTTTCCCCTCGCAGCTCCCTCCTGCTTATTCCTGCTGACAAATGCCAAGGCCTTGAAAGACCTGCTTGTTTATTTTCCCCTACCCCCCAAATACTACTTTACTGTTCTCCCCTTTAGTCCTTCCTGCTCTCTCCTCTGCCAACCGTTTTCCTTCTCTTCCTGTTTTTTCTCCTCTCCATTTGACCTGCATGTAAATGTGCCATTTGATTTTTGTCAGACAGATACCAGGTGAAAAGATACAATCAGTACAATCACCAATGAAAATGAGCAGATGTTGAAAGAAATATTTTTCTCGCAAAGGGTCAGTGCTGCGTTGTTCAATTCAATTAATATGCAGATTGGACACATTTGTTCCCACAGTGTTAGAGATTATCTTTATGGGAGATGATATGACGCGAAAACACACAGAGCTGGAGGACATTTAATCACTTTTCTGAACCACAGGTTGCCGTCTGGTGTAAGGACTCGCCCCTGATTAGAGGCTTGTTGTTCAAAGCACTCAATGTGGGTGCCGAAGGCCAGAAATCTAAGTGGTAAGTAATAAGGTAATCAGTAATATTGAAAGAATTGACCCGACACAAAACCAGCAGATATAATAAAATGATGGTGAAAGTCCCAGCGATTAGCCCTTTACCCTCAGTGAGGAATTTCTATGTGGAGCGCCGGAGTCTTTAAGAACAGAGTGACCGGTGTGGAGGCTGAAGAGATGCCCTTTGTTCCTCTGAGGCAGCTGGGCTGGCTCCGAGCCCGTCTGAGTCCTCCTAAATAATACAAAGTGAAACGCACCCCATGAGTGACGCACAAACACATATGGGGCGCCGTTTGTAAAATGTCGCATATTCTAAAGTCTTGCGCAGTTTTGCTACATTTAGCATTATCATACGAACAAAAAAGCACGACAATATTCATATGTCACTTTTTCAAACATTAAGAGAAATTCATGCAATAACTAAGGATAATGTTTGGCAGTAACACAAAGTTGTTAAATAATCAAAATGTTAAATGTAGATCTAAATGTTAAATGTAAAACGTGCAACAATTTACAAATGGCGATCCATAAACACAGGCACACACAAAGGCGATATGATTTGCATGATCAAATGGAGACTGTCACAAATATTCGAAAAAGAACAAATAAACAGACACACACAAAACTCAGCTACACGTACACAAAAATTAAACTGTCGAGCAGAATGTGGTTTTAAACCAAGAGCCCTGCATCATGCCCAGAAATTGTTTTTTGATGACGTACTGGTCAGTTACACCTGGGGTCCGTTTCAAGTAGGAGGTTTAACAAACTCTGAGTTAAACCCTAAACTCAGAGTTGATTTACCCTGAGATGGGAAACTCTTGAGTTTTGGGTTTCAGAACAGCTGTTCAGCTATTCACCCCTATTAAGCTGGAAATATCAATGCAAACGTACGACGAGTATGAACCTGTAATTAGAAAAAAAAGCAACACCGCTACTGCAGCAAAAGACAGAGAAGCGGCATGAGTTCCAATATAGTTTTGTCAGTTAATATTTAATGTACCCACTAATCATAATCCATACGTTTCACTAATTCACAGTTTTTACACGGTTTGTTAGAATGCACTACACACAGGCTTGAAATACACATATTTGCTCATATTTAATCACAACTGCTCATATTTAATCACAACAATATCGCTGTTAAAAACTGGTACAATGGTATTGGACCTATAATGTATTTTATTCAGGTGCATCCTGTGGAATTTCCTCTATTATATATTATATTCTAATGTTGTAAAGGAAACTGCCGTTTGCAGAAACACGTAATACACAAAGAATGTGTTCGGATGTGAGAGCATGTCCACAATGGGGGACGTTACTTATATGACGACGGGTGAGGTTTTGTACATATTTGATGGATTGTGAAAAAAGATGATACCGTTCAAACAAGTAGTTATCTGGAAATGACAACATATCTAATCGGGGCCTCAATATTCTCTCCCGACGTGTTTACCACCCTGTGAAGTAATACCGCTTCATCAACAGGATTGTCCAGAAAAGGACACTTTAGTCTTTAACGTAACAGAGATCTTATTTTGTTTGGAAACTGCGCTAAAATCCGCCTGGTACAGAGTACTTGAATGAATGAGGAAATGAAAGCGTGCTGTGTGATTCGCTGGGCTGCTGTCAGAGAGAGAAGACTGTGAAAGAAACTCAAACCTGCCCCCGACCAGGTTATGTTTACAGGCTCAGTTACCATGGTGACTGACTTTGAGCTTTAGTTACCTCCCTTTCTGAAACAGACAAGCCAGAGTTCCCCTCATCTCAGGGTTAACAAACTGAGTTTCCACTAAGCCCGCTTCTTGGAACGGACCCCTGGTGGCCACTGAGTCTGACAGTATTACATCATATGGCTCACAGACAGTAATCACTTCAGTGCAGAAGCATTTTTATTGCACATTATGTGTGAAAGATGTCTTCCTTCCGAGGTAGTGTCTATTGAAACAACAAACCAAACCATTGGTGTTTGCAAGAAATCAGAGGTTGTGTGGTGTCAAAGGCTAGTGGTTACAAAAGAAGCTGGACTCTCATTTTTTAGAGTGTACTGGCTCCCCAGTTAAATAGTTTGCTTGTGTCTTAAGCTATATGTTGATTGACAGGACGTCAACTAATACTTCACAAACACACATAAAAAGGGACTAGAGACCGCCTGATGCCGGGAGGCCTTTTATCAGCTCCACCACCAGGGCTTTAATGTGACATTTATTAGTCACTGGCCCTTTCGTTACCTCCAGTAAAGGCCAGGATTGTGTGCGCCCCCCCCAACCCTTTATCTCTCAGGTGTTTCAGCCCCCTCTCCTTGGTAGAAACACAGGAGCACACTGGGGATATTACCTTCAGCACTAATCTGTTTACTAGGTGAGAGAGAAAAACATCTTTGACTTTTTGCTCATTAGACCATTGACAAAAGGAAGGGAACGCTGAGGGATTTCATGACATTTGGAAAGTGTTCAGTTAGAGGCGAGTCGCACACAGTGATGTCTCTATCCGCTGGTAGGGGTGCAGGATGAGAGGGTTGGGGGGGGGGGTGATGGAGGCAGAACTTTCTCTCAGTCTCCCTGCATCAACGTGCATTGATAAATAACTGAGAGCAGTGTAAGCCGCGCATTCATCGAGGACCTTCACTGGTGCTGCTGAAGCCTGGAGGCTCAGTTGGGATTCAGCAGGAGCAGCGGCGGCAGACAGGAAAGGGGGGGGAAAAAATATTTAAGAGGGTAGAAGGAGGGAAAAAGAAAAGAAGGAACTGCTCGCCAGATTGCAGCAGTTACTTATTCATTACTTATCTATTTATTCATTCTCAAACAACAAAATGCCATGGAGGATTTGTTTTACGCATGACAACTTAGAGTAACACCTCCATCTCTTTTATTCTCACTTCAACTGAACATCAGTGAATGTCGCGGATGCGTCGTGGGCACCGGACCTACCCAGGGGTGTAGCCGCGGTGTTTCGGGTGCGTCTTTTTGCGCTGGCGGAGACCGCGAGAGCGCTCTGCTGTGTATGAGAGAGAGGTGGGGGTGGTGGAGGATCAGCCGGAGTGGCCGACTAGTCAGAAGGATGCTGGAGGGCAATGCCTACAGAAAGAGAGGATGAGATTTGTCGAAAGGCGCTGGAGCTGCTTTCCGACCTGTGCTCCAAGGGGGAGGTGCAGGACGACCACTGCCTGGATTACATCTACTACTTCAGGGACCTGGCCAGACCGCGCTACACGGACTCAGGTCGGACTCCTTCATCTTCTCCATGACAGTTAAATGTAGATCCGGAATATTAGTCACCCGCGACCGTCCTCTTTAAAACGCATATACAATATGCGCTTTAATATTCAAAATCGAGCCCATCACGAGCACGGAAATACATTTGAATATTTCTAGAGGAGCATTCTGCACACTTTTATCTAAAGCAGCGCAGCTTCACTTAAACTTAAAAAAAAAAGATATATAAAATTGAATCCTTTGTACCCAATTGCCTCGTGCACGCCACACTGTATTCCCAGTTCACGAAATGCGAGAAGAGTGCGAACTTGTTGCTTGCATCCATTAGCACCCAGCAGCAGAATGTAACAAAGCATCTCCGTGCCATAAATATAAGTGCGCGCGTGCGTGTGTATGTGTGTGTGTGTGTGTGTTCTGTTTCCAAATTCACCACAGCATCCATCCATCCGCCTCTTCGCGTAGATGAACTGAGTGTTGGTCTGGTTTCTCTTTCACTGAGGCGTTGAGAATAGCCCCACCCGATATTCTCCCACAGCTGCCAGCACTTTACAAACTTGGCTCTTGGAAAAAACCGATTAAAACCAGTTCATTGACCACACAAATCTACAAGGAAACTGTAGTAATATTACAGGCATAAACACAAATACCAAGACATTGGGTTATTGAATTTACTAAACCCCCATAGACGCAGTATGTTCAGTAGAGTGTGATATGTGGGTTATTTGCACGGCTATGTGCACAGCAGAGCTTGCAGGCTGTTTGATCATCTTTCCTGTGTGTACGGTCTAAAGTGTACGTACAGAAGGCGCAATTGTTAATTCATTTCTTATGTGTGTGTTTGTGTGTGTGTGAGCAAGCAAGTGTTTTTTCATCTATGTTAATGTTTTTCTCCCCCTTAATAGCAGCAATGGCTGGGCTGCTGATATTTAAACATGTTACAATCCATCATTAAACATGTATGATGAAGAGGAAGTTCAAGCTACCAGAGTGGTTCCCATGAGGAGCCATGACCCACTTCCTCTTGTATTAGAATGCTCTAAATGCACACGTACACACGCACGCACACACAAAACACACACACACACACACACACACCACACACCACACACACTGATACACAACAAACAACTATCCCTCTTAGTTGAAGAGGTTAGGAACGGGAGCTCTTTCAGAAGATTTGGGAGCTTTTCTGCAAAACTTTCAAAAAGGCGCCCATCCAAACAGGTGGTTTCAGGCCGGCAGAAAGAGCCACGGGAGGAATCTGATTATCAATCTTTCGCCGAAAAACATATAATGAGTCCGCATGGGTCTACATTGTGTAATTTGTTATCCGCCATATATATTCAAAATAGTTCTTGGTCATCTAAAAGGTCAATATGTCAATATGAAATTCACAGCCTATCAGAGCTGATAGCACTGACGATGGAAATGTTGCAAACTAAGGAGAAATTTGAGTGCAGGGACTTTATTTGTGGTTTTCAAAACCACTTTTTTTTATCTCTATTCCTCCCTGTTTACATTATGTTTGGGCAGTGAATTCATGTGTTATTGGCTTCTGATAATGGGCCCTTACCTTGTATATACATTGTCTTTTTTCGGATGTAATTTGCTAAAAAGATGTGCACTTTGTCTCATAGGAGGAGCTTGATGTTACATTACATTACATGTCATTTAGCAGACGCTTTTATTCAAAGCGACTTACAATAAGTGCATTCAACCATAGCGATACAAACTCAGAATAACAAGAAACAAGAAAGTGCTCCCCAAACACACTGGTTTTGTACTGCCAGTTGGAAGAATGACCAAACAAGACATTGTCAATTCTTGTCTAACGGTTCTGCTCCCGTTGTCCACAATTCTCTTCACGGAGAACGTCATTTGAATTAACTTCTCTGACTCAAGTGCTGTTGAGACTTTCGGCCTCTCGTCGAGTCGCTCCCATCTGTTTACTGTATATCTCACTGAAGGAACATGGTCTGTTTGGCCAAGCATTTCAATTCAATTGTCTAACTCTGCCCAAAATCACAAACTTACAATGCATGCAATTAATTGCTGTGTTTTTCCAGACTTCTGAACAAGTGACGTAAAAGGCTAGAAAAGCTGTGCAGGTTTAAAATTGAAGTACTTCATCACATGTAATGAATCTCAATTATGTTTACGTTACAAGTCCAATTTCAACAATGTCTTGCTATTAAAAAATATCTCTCTTGAAAACTTAATACGAATCACATTTCCTTGAATGAAGCTGCTGCACAGTAACAAAAACCTTTTACACAGTTGCCCTTGTTAGTAAGGGGTAAACCAGTAAGGCATCATGTCTTTACCACAAGTGTTTTAGTGCTGGGCTGTAGGAGAAACAATCATCAGAGAAAAAGGGTGGTGTCTCTTCACTGAAAACTTCATCATGAATCTTTATGCCTCAACACATTCTCCACATTTTGTTTTCTGGTTAGTACCACGTGCAGTGTGGCTGGTGGAAAATGTTTTAGATAGTTTAAATTGATTTGATTGCCCTAACGTCTCAGGATGAACTTCAATATTATTTTGCCAGCCTAAAAGGCAATTCAGTAAAATATAATACGTATATCCAATAATAATCAGTAATATATATGTACTGTGTATGTCAATTGTCTCGTCTGCTTGAATGCCGATGAAATCAGTGCTTTTAACTTCCTCCAGAATGTCGTCCGTCTGCCGATACCAGCCTTGACAAGAATGCGCAAGCTCGGGAAAAAACTAAAATAATGTTGCGCCAGGCTGAGTCTGTTTAAGGACGCTGATTGGCTGAATTGTGAGTCAAACATTTTTTTATTTAAATCAGCAATTGGCTAAAGTGCTTTTTAGAATCTTGAGCTCGGCCGTAGCGCACCTTAAACACGCATGAAGACAGGACGTGCGTATGTCATGCAAGGATGTGCAGAAAAAGCATATATTTTACAAATATCACTGGGTACATTCCATATTTCAAAAACAAAAATATTAACATTAGAAATTTTAAATTTTTTGTTTTGGGCGGCTCAAAGCTGCCACTGACAACGTGGTATAGATCAAACCCCTCAGAACAAAAATGTACTTTTGAGTGTGCAGCCTGCTTCTCAGTGGACCTCCGTGAAGGCAACAGCTGTGGGTTTTGGATTGGTGATGCAATTGGAAGGCCTTTTCTCTTGACCTAATTTATAGCCTCATCACTCTTACCTTTGAAGCACACAGACTGAGAGAATACATTCAGTGTTTTAAATACTGTATGTATGCATTAAATATTTATGTTTTCATATATGCTAAACACCTCTTGGTTTGTGTCTGGAATGCAGCGATATCATGCAAAAGCTTTTCCATTTGCACAAATATTTGGCCACATGTCTTCCCGCTGTGCTTCCTTGGTGCTTTCACACAAAAAGCTCGGCCATTAGGCCTGTGTATGTAAGTGTTTAATGAAAAGGAGTACGTCTGAAGAGGTGATGATGCATACTGTTGTCACAGTTACTGATGGGACCCAAAAGCACGACTCAGACCAAGATGGGAGGAACCAGTAGGTTTAATCAATGGGGCAGACAAGGTCAAAACCGGGAGATCCGTCAGAGGGCAAACAAGTCCGAGAGGGGCAGGCAGGGAATCCGTAGACGGGAACAGGCAGAGGTCCGAACCAGGGTGGCAATCAGGAAGGCGAACAAATCCGAAAAGGAGCAGGCAGAGAATCTGGGGTCAAAAGGCAGGCAGGGTCAAAACAGAGGTAAATCGGGATAACTTGGAAAACTCTGCAAAACACACGAGACAATCTGGCAGGAAACAAACGAATGTGACGGGCTTAAATAGTGAGTGGCTGACGAGGGGATGTGCTTCATGTGAGGGCAAGGAGAACCAGGTGAGGGTAATGAGCTGATGATGTGGGAGGATCTGAAATGACAGGGGAGTTAGATAACATGCAGTGAAGATTAAAATAAACTATAATGTGGTCTATTGTGTGACAACTGTACACTAGAATATTTTAATAAATTTATATAGTTTTTAATTGCAGGCAACATGATTTTGAAAGGACTTAAGCTAAGATTTCTGATATTGAACGTATTTGATTTTATGAGGTGCGTGTTGATAGTTATCAGCTGACAATCGTAATCACATATGTCTGATTGCTTGTCTTAATTAGATCTGATCATGTCAGGGCCCCCATACGTAGTGCATTCACAGTCATTATAATTATATGCAAAAGTATCATTTGAAAACAAAACATTCCACAGATAAAGGTTGTGTCTATAGAAACAACGATGTCCCGCGGAAAGATAAAACGCAGAACTGCTTTCATTTCCTGGTCTAGATGATGAGGGATTGATTAAATGGTTCGGTAAATAGGTTAGGTTTCATTAAACCCTTGATTGCATTTTTAGCAACAGTTGCCAGGCAACATGACATTATTGGATATTTGGGTTAGACATCTTTGAGCCCCTGGTGATATTCGTGAATCAGCTCAATAAAGTTAATGGCTCTCGTCTCTCTTGTCTTAATCTGAAATCCAACACACAACTACTTTCTTTCAGGTGTTATTTTCGCGGCACTGTGAAAGAGGTTTCCAGGACATTATCCCCATGCTTCCGCTCAGAAACCCACTACCATGCCCTTTCACCTCAGTTATTGTCTTATATTGACCCGCTGCTGACTTAGCTGTTGCCTATTATTGAACTGCACTAAGTGCTGCGCTCCCTGGAGAACGGCCTATTGTACATCGAACAGTTTAATGAGATGGCTCCAGCCCGAGGCCTTCTCTCTGACTGTAGCAGGCTGTGGACCATAATCACAGGCCTCCATTACTAAACCTGCTCTTAATGCTTCTCTGAACCTTAACTTTACATCATTTTTGGATAATAAAATGTATACTTTCCAGGGACGTGGTGTCAATATGGTTGACAATGTGTGTGTTTTTTTGTTGTTTAAATAATGCAAGTGATGGTTCCTTTTTAACCAAGTGGCAATGTTTTTACCAGTCTAACATGACAAAGCTAAGAAATGAATGG